CATTGGGGTGCAAAGATCTGCCCGGCGCCCCCCCCCCAGGTTGCCCAGTCCCAGGTGTGAAGGAGGGCGGAGCTGGATGGCTGCCTCAGCGTCTCACTGGCTCGGTTGCCACCGAACCCGTGGTGCAGAGCTGCCTGCAGCAGAAGAGCCCGCGGCGGCACTCCGACTGATGGGTGGGCTCTTTTGGGATACTGCCAGGGAGACAGAGGCATCAGGCCGTCCCCCAGCTGGCTCCGGACGATCACCGGTCTCCCATGGAACAGCATCAGTCAATTAGCGACACAAGCCTCAGGTACGTTCCGAGACCTGTGCACACTCTGTTAGCAGAGGGTATAAATCATCCACAACGAAAAATGCAGAGAGAGAGAGTTGTGCAAGCATTTTTACACCATTTATTCAGTGTGTTCAGGAACAAAGAAGACTGCTTGCCTTCGTGTCCAGCAAAACAGCCTCTTAGCAAAAGCAACATACAGCGGAAGTTCCCAGCAGTTTTGGGAGTAAGCAGGCATGTGATACACAAACGTCATGCCTGTGTTGGCTTTTTGCAGTATAGTGACGCTGCAGAGAGCTTGCTGGGGAGATCATGCATTAAAAAGAAAGGACTCAAAAATAAGTTAAAGAAGGTTTTAATAAGAAAAACAAAAACTCCATTAACACTAAATATATTAACAAACAAACATGACCCAACCACCAACCCATCCCCAGGGTAATGGGAGAGCTAGGTGCTGCTCCTTATATACTCTACCCAGATGCTGACACACCTTAATCAAATACAACTCAGCAGCACCTGCTATGTTACACAGCTGTAAAGCTGGGTCTCGTTAGTTTGCTCTGGCCCTTGCTCTGGCCCCTTAAAGACATACACATGGAGTGGAACAATGATGAACCTTTACATTTAAAGAAACCATTCAACAGCCTGTACCCTTTTAAGGTGGAATGGAACTACATCCTAACAGGCCCTTCCCCGGACTCAACTCTCAGGCTCTCAGCCTGGCGCCCCGAGAACCCATCACCCAGGTGCCCTGCACCCCTAGCGCCTATGGGTAAGACGGCCCTGCTTCCAGGTACGAGTGAGTGCCGGCCCCTCTCTTTTGAGAAATAAATCCTTTGGCCTACTAGCTTCCATAGACATGCAGTGCAACGTTTGTTAAGCATGTTTGCATGTAAGCAAGCTTATCTACTTCAGCACCACATGCACAAACACATTTGGGATGTTTAGGTGTGCCCAGGCTAATACCACAGTCTGGGTTGAGGTAGGGGTGGAAGGGGTTATGAATTTTGACAGAACTAAAGAATTGATGACTTGTACATCCAGGGGCATATGAAGGGGTGTGTGGGGTGGGGTGCAGACTGCCCCAGGTGTCATCCCTGAGGGGGTGACAAAATGGCACACCGCGGGGGGCGGCACTTACCGCAGGGCCTGGCCTGCAGCGCACCTGAGCCACGTGTCTCTCCTGGGAGTGACGCGGGGCTCGGGGCCCTGTGTTGCCCGAAACGGCAGCGTGGGACTTGTGTCCGCCAGGCAGACTCCATGGGCAGCTCACCAGGTGCCCCCCTGGGTGGTTTGCTGCCCCGCCCCCGCCCCCACCCCTCCGGGTGCTGGAGCAGCTAGCTACGCCCCCGTTGTATATCGGTGAACTTTTACATCCCACCAGACTTGTTTAGGTGTGTCCACTGTCACACAACATGGGGGAGGAAATGAACCTGACAGACCCACGAATTTGATGGCCTGGCATCAGGGAACATCACCGGCCCTGAGATGGTTAGGTGGTATCAGTGTCATGAATTTTGAGAGAAAGAAAGACAGAAATGTGGTTGTCTGGATATCAGCAAAGGTTATACCCGTGTTGAAATATGACAAGATCAGAAAAATGATGTTCAGGAACCATCAAGAAAAGATCAGCTGAAGATATCAGAGGGAATAAGGGGAAATGAAGTTCCACCAGATTCAGAAGCCAAATAATAATAATAATAATAATAATAATAATAATAATAATAATTTATTATTTGTACCCTGTCCATCTGGCTGGGTTTCCCCAGCCACTCTGGGCGGCTTCCAACAAAGATTAAAAATACATCAAAATGTCACACGTTAAAAACTTCCCTGAACAGGGCTGCCTTCAGATGTCTTCTAAATGTCAGGTAGTTGTTTATCTCTTTGACATCTGATGGGAGGGTGTTCCACAGGGCGGGTGCCACTACCGAGAAGGCCCTCTGCCTGGTTCTCTGTAGCTTTGCTTCTCACAGTGAGGGAACTGCCAGAAGGCCCTCAGCGCTGGACCTCAGTGTCCAGGCTGAATGATGGGGGTGGAGACGCTCCTTCAGGTATACTGGACCAAGGCTGTTTAGGGCTTTAAAGGTCAGCAATGCTTTTTCGAATTAATGCAGCCCTTACAGCTTGTGCTTCTAGATTCAAGCAACAAATGGGCTTTGGAGCTCATTAGTGTGAATAAGAACATATGTTCACTCAGAAGAATATGAAAACTGGATTTAGTTGTTATCCTGAGCAGGGAGGCAGGCGCTAGGCTTTCCAATTTTCACTAGGGACCACTTTGCTGCTTTCTGTATCTTAGGTTGCCAAATGTTGGGCTTGCCTGCTAACAGTAAGACTTTGGCAGTTGGCAGGCCTATCATGTATTCCTGCAGTCCAGCTGGATTCAGCCCAGATCCCTTTTCTTCTCTCTTTTCCTCGTGAGTGGATGCGAGAGATCAATGAGTGGAGACTATTGAGAACCAGACTTAATGGAATAAGCTAGGTGGGAATGCCATATTTGGCACAGCACATGGTGTCTGCGTTTTGCAATCTTGCACCACAGATATAAGGAGCCAGTTCCATAGTGAATCGTCATCCCCAGTGGAACCTTATTACTATAGAGAGGGACACAATTCCATCACAAGGATATTCTGTATTCTTCCCATATTTCCATGATATTGAGGCCAAAACAGGTGTCCATGCACCTTACATACAGTATGTGTGCATAGAAGTTGTTCAGTGCATTTTCGCCGCTAAAAGAGTAAGGAAATATGTGTTGTAATATTGATGTATTACATGCTGTTTATGAGATATATGGTAGCTGTAATTTTTGTGTGTGTAAAGAAATATTTTCTACTGCAGAATAACAGCGACATACTTTTTAAAAAGGGGGCTTTAAAATAATATTGTGACACAGCCATTTCATACTGCTTCAAAACACTCAGGACATGATGGTGAGAAAGTTGCTTTTCAAACATCTTGAGGGATTTTGCGACAAAGTGCAGACTGGGAATCTGCCAGACATCATACTCCTGCAATGTAGAGATAAAGGGTTGCATCCACCTTTGGGCCTGAGTTGGTCATTATTTTCATTGGAGTTTTTCTGTTGGATACCATTCATTCATTTTTCTGTTGGATACTTTTTGCTAGAATTCCCAGCCATGCTTAGGCATGTTTTGCCTTAGCGCTAAACACCTTGTTTATCCCGGTCCCTTGTAACACTAAAAGAAATGTGTGTTTATAAAATTCTTTGGAAGTAAATTCATGAAGCAGATATAAGGAAAAGGACATGCCAACACCTAGGCCTTCGCAGGCCTTCAATCGCTAGTGAGCCTGAACTTTTGCTTAACCCCAGTGTGTCTGCGCCCATTTGCCAGACCAAGCTGAAACACAATAAAGACTTGTTGCGGTCATTTGAAAGAACTGCAGGCACGAAAATCTATGATTTATTCTGAGCGGCTTCACTCATGCTTTAAAAGCATTGATCACACAAAAGAGACAATGGCAGCCGACTCTTTCACTGAAGGCATGTGGCCACTTCCAGCACCTCTACCAGATAAGTCATAAATAACAAACGGCAGACAAGGGCAACAACATTTTTTGTGTATGTGAAGCACACGGTTCTATTCCGAAAGCCCTCTTCTTCTTTTGCCAGATGATGGATGGACTGTGTGCCACATCTAATCTTGTATGATGGATGCTAGTCGTGCAGTGTTAGAGCTATTCATTCTGCCTGAATTGTGTATGGATGTTGAACACTGCAGAACAAATGTGCAGGGCTATGTTTAGCGAATTGAATCAAAGGCACAAAATACAAACGTGAGAGTCTCTACTATTCCTTCACTTCGCCCACGCTACATTTCATACATTTTAAGATCCAGTGTATTCATTCTTAAGCAAAATCAATAAAGGGCAGGATCTACAAAGCTGTGGGGAGAAGTTTCATGTCCCTGAGGTCCCTTTTTCATGCCACCACATCTGCTTCCGAAAGCTAGGAGACAATGCAAAGTTGCGCCCAATGCAGTGAAAAGTGTTCCAGTTAGAAAAGCAAATTTCTTACACAACTATTCGGCAGACCTGGAGAGGCATCTTTTTATAATTAGTCTTTACAATTTGTACAACTATACATGTTGAACAGAATTCTCTGTATTAAATAAACTCTGCTAGAGATTGCATTCTCCTGGAATGCTGTGTTGAAACTAAGATGTTCAAAATCTTCCTGTCCCTCCTTTTAGAATTTCAACACTGTTTGATGATACAAAACATCCTTCATGCCTGCACTTTCTGTTAAAAAGCCATATTGGGAGAATGGAAATGCTTTTATGAAAGGCAGCCCTCTACCAGGGAGCTAGGAAAACAGGTTATATAAGATGGTAGATTAATCCAAACTGTTCATTTTGTCTTCTGCAGTAGCCTAGATAACAACATCCTGGTGGAATCTACACACATGTAAAAAAAAGCTGTAAAAATGCTTTTTTTAAAACGTTTTGAAAAATATATAGAATTTGCCATAACTCACTCTTGCCATCTAGTGTCAGATTTGTATAATGCACTTTACAAAACATTTTATTTGCAGCTGTATAGCTGAGTCCCCTTTTATGGCTTGTAACCATCATATACTCACAGCCCTCATATGCTGTTAATAGGATGGTGCAAGGAAGTTAAGGATTTGGGGATATTAATCTGAACTCCTTTGGAATTCCAGATGTGGATTTCTGCTAATCAAAATCTTGTTTTCTTCTCTTAGGTTACGATCTTTGGTGAAGCAGCTAGAGAGAGGAGAGGCTTCCGTTGTTGACTTGAAAAAGAACTTGGAATATGCTGCTACAGTGCTTGAATCTGTGTACATTGATGAAACCAGGTGAGACGATTGTTTCAGTGTAGTAATGCTTTATTCTCATCATTTATTTTTTAAGTAAACAAGCTTAATACCTCATCCTATTTCTTGGGATTAGTGTGAGTCACACAAAGATTCACAAAACGTTTAGGGGTCTGCGTACCCCTGAGCTCCCCCAGAAAAAAAGCACTGTGAATAACCCTGCAAAGATCTTCATTGCTCTCACACTCCAGAAGTGAGGTACTTTACAATCTGGGGGTACTGCGGTTGTGCATAGAAATAACTAAATGTCAATATTTTTCTACATTAAATTCACCTGAAAGAAAACAACCACCAACCAACCAACAAACCAGCAGATTTAATTAGGGGCTGGGCATGTGTAACACCTTGTAAACAGGAGAAATGTTGCAAGAAAAATGCTGTTTCTGTGGAAATCTTTATTTAACGTATCTCCCCTGTATCTCTCCCAACAGGCGTCTGTTGGATACGGAAGATGAACTCAGCGATATCCAGTCAGATGCTGTGCCCTCGGAAGTACGGGATTGGCTGGCTTCTACTTTCACACGGCAAATGGGGATGATGCTGAAAAGGAGCGAGGAAAAGCCACGATTCCGGAGTATTGTGCATGCAGTTCAGGCTGGGATATTTGTGGAGAGGTAATGGATGATGCAACTGCTCTGCACCAAAGAATAGTCAGATGTTGCAGTTTATAGATATGGGAGCTTTGTAGGTAAACGTGAGCGACCAGTGAAGGCCCAACAGTTCTGAAGAATTGGCCAGGATCATGACTTCACTTTCTCCATCTCTAAATCCAGATATGAGAGCCCTCTGTCTCCGAGGGCCTTCTGAGCACAATAATTCAGAAATGGCTAGCACTTACGATATCGTAACAACCCTGAATCATTTCAGTTCACCAGTTTTAGCGTTTGCATCACTTTGAGATGGATTGCATCTTGGGCTAATGATGTCTGAGCGGAAACAGGATCCTTTTGGTCACCAGGCAAGGTTGCTATTTCGATAACACAGAATGGTGCAGGAAGGCGGGAAGGCTGTGGCAGTGTTTTGCATTGAAGCATTAATTGTAAAGAAAACTTTGTCTAACCTTGCCATTGAAATAACAACACACATTTACTTTGAAATAAGTCAAAGAGATGCCAGTGCTTCCAAGTAGACCAGTATAGAGTAAGCAGCACATAAGCGGCACACAAAACACTAAAAAAAATTCTACGTTCTAAATCTTAAATTAATAATCCAAAAATTGAGAGAGCTACTACAAGATCTACTACAGAAGCCACAAACAGAAAACCCATCCAAATTGTGTCCAAAAGGAAGATTCAGTCTGTTTGTGGCTTCTGTAGTAGATCTTGTACATAGTTCTCTCAATTTTTGGATTATTAATATAAGATTTAGAACGTAGAATGCTTTTTTAGTGTTTTGAGTGCCGCTTATGTGCTGCTGACTTTATACTGGTCTACTACGAGAATAGGCAGCATAGGTTCATTTCTTCAGTGCTTCCAAGTAAGCATACCAGATCATCCTGATCCAGTGATCCTCTTCCACGTGTGGTTGGGATCTTTTACATTACAATAAAGGAAACTTGTGCAGATTGTGCTGGTGGTGGTTTTGCAGATTCAAACCGACGTGTGCAAGGCATGAAATGGTGGCAGTGGTGAGGCAGTACAGGAAGCCTATATTCTGGCTGTAAACATTTTAAGTAAATGCATACCTTCATCAAAGCACAACATATGGCAGCAGTTCTGCAGAGAGCTCTTTTGCGTGACGCTATCTCTGGCTCTGAATGGAACATTTTGGCATAGAAATTAATGCCAGTGGGAATAAAGGAAGAAAGGCAATTTGTTTGGCTTGGGTAAAAACGATGTATTCTGAAGAGAACTCTGTCGGGTGTGTAATTAATTTGTTTTATCTTGACAGAATGTACAGACGGACATCCAATATGGTTGGACTTAGCTACCCACCAGCTGTCATTGGAGTGCTAAAGGTAATGCCGGTGGTGGTTCTCTCTTACAAAACACTGAAATGATACGGGGATTTCATGTAGAGGTCTGTGCATGCTCTACCTTTCATTGTGTCTTGAAAATAATTTAGCTTACATCATAAAGGTAAAGGTACCCCTGCCCGTACGGGCCAGTCTTGACAGACTCTAGGGTTGTGCGCCCATCTCACTCAAGAGGCCGGGGGCCAGCGCTGTCCGAAGACACTTCCGGGTCACGTGGCCAGCGTGACAAGCTGCATCTGGCGAGCCAGCACAGCACATGGAACGCCGTTTACCTTCCCGCTAGTAAGCGGTCCCTATTTATCTACTTGCACCCGGGAGTGCTTTCGAACTGCTAGGTTGGCAGGCGCTGGGACCGAACGACGGGAGCGCACCCCGCCACGGGGATTCGAACCGCCAACCTTTCGATTGGCAAGCCCTAGGCGCTGAGGCTATTACCCACAGCGCCACCCGCGTCCCCAGCTTACATCATACAAGGAGACAAAATGCATCAGAGAAAAACAGTCCAGAGGTTACCTGGTGATCTTCGGCTCATTTCTGTTGTTAAAATATCCCCACTAGAGTAAGGTGTGATATCTTCTGTATGTAAACAGGAAGTAGAAAATGAAGTCTTGAACAATACCCTAAGAATAAAGGTAAAGGTAAAGGGACCCCTGACCATTAGGTCCAGTCGTGGCCGACTCTGGGATTGCGCACTCATCCCGCTTTATTGGCCGAGGGAGCCGGCGTACAGCTTCCGGGTCATGTGGCCAGCATGACTAAGCTGCTTCTGGCGAACCAGAGCAGCGCACGGAAACGCCGTTCACCTTCCCGCCGGAGCGGTACCTATTTATCTACTTGCACTTTGACGTGCTTTCGAACTGCCAGGTTGGCAGGAGCAGGGACTGAGCAACGGGAGCTCACCCCATCGTGGGGATTTGAACCGCCGACCTTCTGATCGGCAAGTCCTAGGCTCTGTGGTTCTGCCTTTAAACATCCCACTGTATTAAACATCCCCTCCAAATGCATGTTGGGAAGAAGGACCCAAGGCCAGCCTTTTGCCTGATAGGATTCTTTCTGCCTCCCACCCCTCAGTTCTTTTTTAATATTATTGGATGTCCATTAGTATTCTATTCTACACTTGCAGTTTGAAGCACCTGACCTGCTATTTATTTAGAGCACCTCACATGGGAGCTTAGCTGTAAAGTGTTTGGGTCAATCCTCAGCACCTCAGGCTGGCAAAAGGGATTTCTCCACAAAACCCCAGAGAGCTGAGATTGCACTGGTACAGTGGTTGGTACAACTTTTCCTACTTGGTTTGGACCAGGCTAATAAAACTCAGCACAGAGGAAATTTTCGTTGGATTTTTCTTTATTCCACAGCAAGAGCCTACCTAAACAGAAGTCAGTAAAAATCAATCCTATAGCATGCCAATAGTGCAATGTTAAAGGTAAAGGTAAAGGTACCCCTGCCCGTACGGGCCAGTCTTGACAGACTCTAGGGTTGTGCGCTCATCTCACTCTATAGGCCGGGAGCCAGCGCTGTCCGGAGACACTTCCGGGTCACGTGGCCAGCGTGGCAAGCTGCATCTGGCGAGCCAGTGCAGCACACGGAACGCCGTTTACCTTCCCACTAGTAAGCGGTCCCTATTTATCTACTTGCACTCGGGGGTGCTTTCGAACTGCTAGGTTGGCAGGCGCTGGGACCGAACGACGGGACCGCACCCCACCGCAGGGATTCGAACCGCCGACCATGCGATCGGCAAGTCCTAGGCACTGAGGCTTTACCCACAGCGCCACCCGCATCCCTAGTAGTGCAATGTTAACACATAACTAAAACATCCATCCCCAAAGGTCCCCTTGTTACTCATTGAAGGAAAAAAGTTTTGTTTTTTAAAAAGGACCATGCATTTTGTGACTACATATGAGTTTCTGGAAATCAGTACTGGATAACAGTAGCCTTGCAAAAGTGTGGTGTAAATCTGAACTAAGCAATGGTAACCAGTCATTTAAGTTTCTCAGTGTCCCTGATGGGGCACTGTGGGGAGTTTAAATGGCTACAAGCCACTTCCCTGGTTGATTTAGGAGAAAGCCCAGCAGAGGCTCAGCAAATAGGAAGCACTGCTGGTCTCCTTCCACCCCTACGGAGGAAATGCTGGCACCTGCCCTTTGGGGTCTCCTGGACTCTGCACACACACATGGCATGATTCAGAGCAGGCTCCTTTCTCCCCACGAAGGTCTTTAACCACCAGGTGAGGTTGATTTGATTCCCCGCCTTGTTTCCGATTTAGATCTTAGGTCATCCCTTCTTCCCCGGCGTCCCTGGCATGCTGACGTCACTCTCGCACGTATTGGGGCATGGTGACGTCATGAGGACATGCCCTGCCGCAGTGGCGTAGCGTGGGGGTGCAGGGGGGCCGGCCGCACCGGGCGCAACATCTCGGGGGGGGGGGTTGCTCACACTCACAGCTCTCTGCCCCTACCTGGCTCACTCACTCTTTCTCACTACAGTGCTGGCTGTGCGAATCCGATCCGAGCCACCTGCTCACCGCCCACTGTGGAGGGGTGTGTGTGCCAGGCGTGCGGGTTAGGGGGTGCAAATTACTTGCCTTGCCCCGGGTGCTGACAACCCACGCTACGCCACTGCCCTGCCGCATGCCTGGACTTCTGTGGCTGCCTGGCCCCTTCATTTAAAATACTGTGGGAGCCAGGGCAGCCACGGCCCTGTGGAGTTGGTGCGTTTGTTTCCTTGCAGTGGTGGAGGCACCTCATTTCGCCTCAGGTGCCAAAATGAACTATTGAAATGAATCTATTTGGTAGATTGTTGCCTGTCTAAGTCAGGGGTCAGCAAACCTACCGCGCCTCGGGCTGGTGTCTCCAGCGCCGATAGCTCAGAGGGCGGGGGAGCACGTGCCCATATGCGTGCGCACATGCTATTTCTGGTGCACTTCCGGGTCGGAGGAGTACCGGAAATAGCTTGTTCACATGTGCATGGGCCTCCTCCAACCCAGATGTGCACTGGAAATAACACTTGCGCATGCACAAATAACGCTTGCACATGCGCACAAACTATTTCCGGTGCTCCTCCGACCTGGAAGTGGGCAGCCACGCAGTGCAGTGCTGGTAAGAGTGGGCAGTGGCAGCAGGCGGAGGGGGTCGCCGTGGGCCGGATAAATGAGTCCCTCGGGCCTTATCCGGCTCACGGGCCTTAGTTTGGGGACCCCTGGTCTAAGTGTTCTATGAGAAGCCAGGCAGTAAGCCTGTTGTGCATCTGATCTGAACGTGGATTAAGGAGGGTTCTTAACTGATCATTTTATTTGGTGGGCTGTCCTAGTTCCCAGTGTTAGCATCACCTAGAGTCAAAAGGTGTACTTCGGCTCCATACAATATCTTTTCTTTTCTGCCACTATTTGCCTCTTCTGCAATGGAATAAAAGTGATATGCAAGTTGGCGGAAGCGGCACAGGGAAATTTCAGAGCACACTGAAGCGGGACAGTCCCGTTTTTAAAATGTTATCTTCACATCAGGCAATTGATGCAACGTCAGCGTATGTCGTATCCACTGCGCTGCTTTTCTGGCTGCTTGAGGAAATGTCACTTAGTCTGAAAACACATCGGGGGAAATTACAGCCCAACTGCGTGTAGGATATTCATGCTATAATCAAATGCATAATGTATGAGTTGTGTCGACGGAAATTGCCTTGTAAGTCTGATTTGCAGCACACTTGGGCGTCTCTTTTTCCTGCCACCCTTCATTACATTTGTACACTAGAATTTACATTGATTAAAAACGGCAATAAAAAATTGCTTGGCAGTGGCCTACTTAGGTGGACGGGTAATAATATATATCAAATGGCCCTAAGTACCATTAACTTCTGGCACACAATTAACAACATAACAGTGAAGGGACTGAGAATTGTGTTCTTGATTAAGTGATTTTAAACCATTCCATGTGGCAGCTATCACTGCATAGGAGACAATTTGCGTGCACTTACAGTCACCAGACATTTTCTTGACATTATAATGAAAATAAGAAAAGAAAAATGCACTGAAAGAGCTTTCCCTGCCCCCAAAATTATAGATGCACACAGCGCTTAGTACATGTGGTTGCCTATATAGTAAGCTATTTGTGCAGACTGAATGATTTCTCTCTGTCACTGCATTCCTTTCTTTTTGGAAGCATAGGGTGGCTTGGAGGAAACTGCCCAATCAAAGTGGTGCAATTTTCATTTCAAATGCTTGCCTCACTATTGTGGTAGCATCTTCCACTGGGGGCAAATCCTGTATAACAAATCAGCATTGTGACTACACAGTACATTGAGTATCCATTGGCTGTCTTCTCTATTGCTGGGTTGTGTTTGAACTTAAAAAAACCCAAACACCTAGCCAAGTGGCAACAATATGAATGGAATCTCAAGACTTGAGATCATGGGGAGGGTAACCTTTTTATAAACGTGAACTTTTGCCAAAGAGCAGAGATGGGCTACCCTGGTCTCTGCTTGGTGTGACTCAGAAATCACTTGACTTGTGTGTGAATTTGAAAACAACAGCAACCAGAAACAAGTTGGCTCATTCCCTGAGTCAATCCAAAAGGGTTGGGAAGTGTGCACCTTGGCTCCCAGTATTCAATGCATTCTTCCCAATGATGTTTTTCTTCCCTGCTTCTCCTATTTCTTTCTGGTGCACTCTGCAGCGTGTCAAGAGTAAAAGAGCAGTAGTGCTTGGGAACCGAAAGTCTCTCAAGGGCAATATCCCTTGAGAAGACTTCAGTTCCTAAGCAGCCCTATGCCTTTTGTCCTGATACACTGGGAAACATGCCAGGATGATGGAGAGGAAGAAGAAAACCTTTCCTCCCCTAGCCCTCTGCTTCAGCTACTACAGCATCTCCCAGGTGGAATCTACACACATTTAAAGAAACGCTGTGAAAATGCTTTTAAAAAAAAGTTTTGAAAAATATGTTGAATTTGCCATGGTTCACTGTCGCCATCTAGTGCCACATTTGTATATTGCACTTTACAATACACTTAAAACGTTTTATTTGCAGCTGTATAGCTGAGTACCCACTCTCTACAGTTAAGAAAATAGGAGAGTGGAGAAATGCATTGGGGGCAGGTGGAGATAGGGGTGCACTGCAGCTGAGAACCCTTTCCCAGCACGGGAATAAACCGAAACAGCCATCAGTGAAGGTCAGGGGTTCATGGGGGCAGATTCCTCTTTTGAGAGGTCCTTTTAAGAAGTTCATTTCCAAGATAGTCTTGAACAAATTACTTCTACACCTCTTGGGGAAAGGTTTCATTTAGTAGTCTGTTATCATGAGAAATTGTGGAGGGAACATATAGAGCAATGCACCGCAGCAAAAATAAAATAAAATCATAAGCACAATCTATTCATCACTACTTCATTCTTCAATTTCTCTCTCTCTCTCTCTCTCTCTCTCTCTCTCTCTCTCTCTCTCTCTCTTTGATGTGTATGATTTTGAAAGCACATGATACTTGCTGCAGCCCAGTAGGTCTGAATCTGAGTGCTTGGATGAGAGACTAGCTAGCACCTATGCACACCACTTTTTCTTCCATTATACAAGAAAGACAGTAAATGAAAGAATGAAAACATGAATGAAAAAGAATGAAAGAACGAAGTTCTTTTTAATCAGTAAATGCTCCAACCAAAATAGATGGCTCTCTGATGTTTCTCGAATTTAGAGCTGGATTGTGCATTCTTTAACTTGGTTGCTTGTAGCTGCCACAGGATTTAATTTGACTGGTTAAAATTAAAAAGGTAAAGGTAAAGGACAGTTAAGTCCAGTCGCAGACGACTCTGGGGTTGCGGCACTCATCTCTCTTTACAGACCGAGGGAGCCGGGGTTTGTCCGCAGACAGTTTTTCCGGGTCATGTGGCCAGCATGACTAAGCCGCTTCTGAGAAAACCAGAGCAGTGCACAGAAACGCCGTCTACCTTCCCGCTGGAGCGGTACCTATTTATCTACTTGCACTTTTTGGCATGCTTTTGAACTGCTAGGTTGGCAGGAGCTGGGACCGAGCAACAGGAGCTCACTCCATCACAGGGATTCAAAATGCCAACCTTCTGATTGGAAAGCCCAAGAGGCTCAGTGGTTTTGACCACAGTGCCACCCGCGTCCTCTGGTTAAAATTGCTAGCATCTTAATATGCCAAACAGATTCAACTCAAAAATTTACTGACTACCTGACATCATCAAAGCATGTATAGGCTTAGTATTTAACAGTCGTTGCTTTCCTTTGTGTCACTGATGAAGAAAACACACACTAATGCTGCCTTTTCTCTCACAGAACGTAGACAAGTGGTCCTTCGACGTATTTGCACTAAACGACGCTAGTGGGGACCATGCACTGAAATTCATTTTCTACGAATTGCTCACACGTTATGATTTGATCAGCCGCTTCAAGGTCAGTAATCCTGCAGTGTCCTTCCTCTCTGTTCTCTTGTAATTTACTCAAAGGAGAAATATCACTAACCTTGTAATTCTGCTTTATCTGTGCTATTGGCCATGAACATGTGGTTGGTAAACCCTGTCTGTCGAATACTTGTCACCTGATTTAACTAGGATGTTATTACTACTGCGATGAATGAGACCAAGTAAGGATCAGTCAATATGGCATCATATTGAAATAGGGTACATTTACTGGCTTCACTGAAGGAAGGGTTCCGTGCTGTATTCAGTAGCGCTCCTGTCACAAAAGTTTTTGATGCCTGTTATGTACTGAGTTGAATAGGATCCAAAATGCAGCAGTCTGATTGGTCCTAGAACAATAGGATTCAGAATGCAGCAGTCTGATTGGTCCACAAGAGCCACCCAATCCAGCTCCAGGTAGAAGGGAATGCGGCCTACAGGAGAATCCTGGAATTAGCCAATCACGTGGGGCCCATTGTGTAAATAATGTATATAAGGCAGACATTCTGGGGGAACTTCCATTCCTCCTCACCACTATGAGCTGAATAAAGAGCATGAAATCCACTCTCGACTCCGAGTATATTTCAGTGCCAGTCACACTAACCTTCCTGGCTTTATGGCATTATCGTCTTCCAAAGCAACTACTCTGTTCCAAACTTGAAAATGGAAAGCGTAATGCTGGTGGCCAACAAAAGAGGTTTAAAGACTGTCTCAAGGCAAATCTTTAAAAATGTAGTATAAACACCGACAACTGGGAAACACTGGCCTGTGAGTGCTCCAATTGGAGAACAGCCTTTACCAAAGGTGTCGTGGGCTTTGAAGACACTTGAACTCAGGATGCAAGGGAGAAACGCGCTAAGAGGAAGGCACGCTTGGCAAATCCACACCGTGATCAACACCCACCTGGAAACCAATGTCCCTGCTGTGGAAGGCCGTGTGGATCCAGAATTGGCCTCCACAGTCACTTACGGACTTATTGTTAAAACCGTGTTTATGGAAGACAATCTTACTCGGCTACGAGTGATTGCAAAAGAAGAAGATGACAACCCTACCCAACTACAGCCAACATCCCCTTGTTTGGTTCTGTGGCTTAACCCTTCCCCTTCAAGTTTCTGAGCAATACCCACTGGCCCAAATGAGCTCTTTATTGTTCATCTAGCATGGCTTTGGTTGTGGTTATATGAAGGTGGCAAAAATATGTTGCACTTCCTATCTCTGCATCGTTGTACGATCCCTAGTAAATCATTTGTATCCTCCCACTAAGAGAGAGCTAGAGGAGGAAGCTCTCCTTACACCAGGAGGCTGCTCAGGACTGCTGTTCTTCCCCCTATGTCCTTCTGACTGGGATCTAGAGTCTGGTATTGCCTTCTCCTTGGCTCTGCAGCACCTTAAAAATACAGAATCACAAGTGTTAAAAAGGAGGAAGAAGCTACAGGAAACTATCCCTTGTTTCTCCCTTGAAGATATGTGATATTTGGTGAGGTGGAGTCTGTATGAAAGTATATCAAAATCAAAATATATACGAGAGGTCCTGTGATCCACACATGGATTTGGAAGGGGCACAGTCCTATAGGATGACATGACTTCTGAATAACTGGCTTTGGGTGATCTACCCAAGGCCACACTGAGATGTATTTTGAGTCTCAGTTTATAACCCATGCTCAGTCTTCTGTATTACACTGATTCCCATTGTTTTAAAAGAAGCTAACCAAGCTTAATTCTTGGATATAGACTGAAAGCAGTTAATGCCCACCTTAGTAAAACCAGCAACCCTCCTTCCCATTGGGATATGTATAGTTTAAAAAGTATATAGGCAATACTATGCCCAATAAAGTCATACTCAGAGAAGACTACTGAAAAAACTAAATTGAATAGGTCTACACTGAGTATGACTTCTTCTTTTTTGGCGATCCCTCGTAGCCGAGTAGGATTGTCTTCCATGAACACAGTCTTAACAGTGAATCTGTAAGTGACTGTGGAGGCCAATTCTGGAGCCACACGGCCTTCCACAGTGGGGACATAGGTTTCCGGATGGGAATTAATCATGGTGAGGGTTTGCCAAACGTGCCTTCCTCTTAGCACGTTTCTCCCTTTTGTCCTGAGCTCAAGCATCTTCAAAGTCCATGACACCTTCGGTAAAGGCTGTTCTCCAATTGGAGCACTCACAGGCCAGTGTTTCCCAGTTGTCGGTGTTTATACTACATTTTTAAAGATTTGCCTTGAGACAGTCTTTAAACCTCTTGTTGACCACCAGCATTACGTTTTCCATTTTTAATTTCAGAATAGAGTAGTTGCTTTGGAAGACGATCATCAGGCATCCAAACAACACGGCCAGTCCATCGAAGTTGATGTTGAAGAATCATTGCTTTGTCACTGGTGATCTTTGCTTCTTCCAGTACACCAGCATTAGTTAACCTGTTTTCCCAAGTGATGTGTAAAAATTTTCGGAGACACCATTGATGGAATCTTTCAAGGAGTTGGAGATGGCCTTTATAAGTGGTTCATGTTTCACAAGCTCTATAACCCTTTGTGTTCCAGTAAATTTCCAAAACAAAGAGGCTGTAGGAAACCAAAGGAGAATGCAGTTAATATTGCATGCTAGTGGTGAATGTCTGAAATCACACACATTTTGGACCTTAAGGGCAAATGATAAGTACATCTGCTCTTAACTTTGGTTGATATTTATAACAGAGCGACACAATTTGAAGCACCATCCATGTATAAAAAGTTTTCCGAAGTCTTTCCATTTGATTTTTTTTTTATTGAGAAAGAAACCATATTTGGATGCTAAGATCTTGATGCTTAAAATTTCAACAATCTTTGCCAAATGTACTTCCCTTCCTGTGTTTTTGTTTAGATTCCAATATCTGCTCTTGTCTCCTTTGTGGAAGCCCTGGAAGTTGGCTACAGCAAGCATAAAAATCCATATCACAACCTAATGCATGCCGCAGACGTCACACAGACTGTTCATTACCTCCTTTTTAAGACAGGTGTAGCGGTAAGTAAATGAATGCCCTACTTAGGAGACCCAAACAATGTTGTGCATTTTGGGTAAATTTCCTGCATGACCCACTGGGGAAACCCAGCCAGATGGGCAGGGAATAAATAATAAATTGTTATTATTCATGGCTTTTTCATGGGATTTAAATTACAACAAACCCCAAGATTTACGAGCACCAAAGTGGGTCTCTGGTTTAGACCCTTTGGATTATAGTCTGTTGCTCAGATATGTGTTTGGGGTTCTAACTTGCTGCTTCTCCAATGCTTAAGAGAATGTAGTTCCCCTTTGGACTGTGGGATTTTGAAACTGGCCAAAAGGTCAGGCAAAAGGAGATTATAAAGTTAACTTAAACAGTGGCCGCTGTTTTGGGCAACGGTCCCACAAGTGCAAATTATGTGCATGCCACAGAATATATAATGCCTCAGAGCTTCAGTATGGTTTTAGCCAGTGGCCATAATGTAAATATTGCTATCTTTTTTCCTACTAACTTGGCAAATGCACCCTAAATCCATGAGTTAAGTTACTCCTTTGGGATTCAGAACAAAAAACTTAACTGCATGGCAAAATGGCACAAAATTTAGTACACAGAAAGAAGAATAAACTGAAAACAAATACAAAATAATAGTAACAACCAAACTGAGATAATTACTGTGTTTTGTGAAACTGTTCTAAAATTATTTACATTTAAGAAGGCCCCAAATTGTAGCTTTGGAAGCTTTGGAAATCGTGGAAAGACAAAAATATAAGAAAATATTTTAGGCAGTGTTCTTTTCTCCTGCTTAGAAAGCATATGCACTTTTATCTTTTTCAAAGCTGACACAAAAAACATAATATTTAATTGGGCAAGTGTGGATGATTCATGGCAATCAACTTCTGGCAGTGCTCCTTGGTTGATGTTTGGCAAAAACATGATGCGTCAAAGCTGAGTACAAACAGCTACGTGACCCTATTCTGTAAAACTGCCGTCAGGGGCACTGTATATTGCGAGCAGTCAATTTACCTTCACCTCACACAGATTATAGGCATAACTAGTGACCCACTTCTGAGGGGCCAAGAGGTGTAATGCCAATAAGTGAGCAACATTATTGAAAATGCTATTGTTCCATTTTAGAGGTGGATTGGACCAGCATTGCGACCAAGCACCTATCTAGAGTTAACAAGAGCTACTGCCATTTTGTAGCCTCATTTGAGTGTGATGCTGAGCTATGGTTAAATAGTACATGAATGAGCCTCAGCAGAGGCACCCAGTTCCACCTGACATGGGGGGGGGGATCCTTGCCGTGTGTGTGTGTGACGTCACATGTGCAACCCACACATGTGATGTCATGCAGATCGGGAGGAGGCTACAAGGCCCGGCAAGGCCCTCTGCCACCATGGGGAGGCCTGGTGGGGTCTGCCTCTGCCGCCACGGTGAGGCCCAGCAAGTCCTGGCCCCTCAAGATTGGGGGCTAAGCCCTGTCCCCACATACTTTGAGGGGCCCCAGCCCCATTGAGTTGGCACCTATGAGCCCCAGGCACTCCTAAGCTCTCCTCCTCCTCCAGCACGGCTGTGAAAAAGTTGGAAGCTTTTGCTTCCTTTTTAAAAAAATAAATAAAATTTTTATTAGCAATTTAAACAAAACATATTATCTTAAAACATATCATCCTTAATTCCCCCCATTCCCCCCTCCCTCCCATAAAACAACCCCCCCTCCCCACCCATCCCGACTTCCCTCAGTTCCAATCTCTGGTTTCTCTATAAATGCTATTCTCTGCATGTTACAGAATTGTATAGATCCTTAATTTGTCTAACCGGTTATTATCAATAAACAGTTTGTGAGTGTTTATTCAAAACCTGCCAAGGAGTCCAGTTCACTTTGTTGCATCTTTAAGTACTTTGTAAAAGGTTCCCATTCATCTTTAAAGTCACAGCTATCCTTGCCCTGTAGTTTATATACCAATTTTGCCAGTTCTGCATAGTCCATCAGTTTCTCTTGCCGTAGTTCTTTAGTCGGAGTTTCCTCAGTTTTCCATCCTTGTACTATTAAGACCCTCGCCGCCGTTGTCGCATACATAAAGATGCTTCTCAACTTCTTTGGCAGGTCTTTCCCTACAATCCCTAACAAAAATGCTTCAGGTTTTTAAAACAAATGTTAGTTGGAACATTTTCTTCAATTCATTGTATATCATTTCCCAATTTTTTGAAATTACATTACAATCCCACCACATGCGATAAAATGTCCCCTCCTTTTCCTTACACTTCCAACATATATTTGAGCTAGTTTTGTACATTTTCCCTAACTGCACTGGTGTCATATACCATCTATACATCATCTTCATATAATTCTCCTTCAACAAAGAACAGATTTTAGATCAATTTTCCACAACCTTTCCCAATCTTCCATCATAATGTTGTGACCTAAATATTGTGTCCATTTGATCATGACTGATTTTACCTCTTCATTGCTTCCTTTTTTAACTTTTTAACTTTTTTAACTTTATCCAAAGCCAGTCAAACTATGGTTAGTCTTAACCAGGCATAGGCAAACTCGGCTCTCCAGATGTTTTTGGACTACAACTCCCATCATCCCTTGCTAACAGGACCTATAGTCAGGGATGATGGGAGTTGTAGTCCCAAAACATCCAGAGGGCCGAGTTTGCCTATGCCTGGTCTTAACTATGGTTTACTGAAACAGACCAACTTCAACCCAAGAGTTTTGAAGCTGGCTTGTTACAGTCAACCAGACTGGCCGCATTTAATGGTTCAGAAGCTATTTAGTAAGGATGCAGAGAACTTAGAACCTGAGTGTGATGATTAAATGCAGGTTCTAGTCTAAGGTCTTGGTTGCATGAAATCCGGATTGATGTTGTTGTTGTTTAGTCGTTTAGTCATGTCCGGCACTTCGTGACCCCATGGACCAGAGCACACCAGGCACTCCTGTCTTCCACTGCCTCCCGCAGTTTGGTCAAACTCATGCTGGTAGCTTCGAGAACACTATCCAACCATCTCGTCCTCTGTCATCCCCTTCTCCTTGTGCCCTCCATCTTTCCCAACATCAGGGTCTTTTCCAGGGAGTCTTCTCTTCTCATGAGGTGGCCAAAGTATTGGAGCCTCAGCTTCAGGATCTGTCCTTCCAGTGAGCACTCAGGGCTGATTTCCTTAAGAACGGATAGGTTTGATCTTCTCGCAGTCCATGGGACTCTCAAGAGTCTCCTCCAGCACCATAATTCAAAAGCATCAATTCTTTGGCGATCAGCCTTCTTTATGGTCCAGCTCTCACTTCCATACATCACTACGGGGAAAACCATAGCTTTCACTATACGGACCTTTGTTGGCAAGGTGATGTCTCTGCTTTTTAAGATGTTGTCTAGGTTTGTCATTGCTTTTCTCCCAAGAAGCAGGCGTCTTTTAATTTCGTGGCTGCTGTCACCATCTGCATTGATCATGGAGCCCAAGAAAGTAAAATCTCTCACTGCCTCCATTTCTTCCCCTTCTATTTGCCAGGAGGTGATGGGACCAGTGGCCATGATCTTAGTTTGATTGATGTTAGTTAACAGGAAAGCCAAATTTGATTCATGTGCAAAAGAAACAATGGGGCAGAGTCGACAAGCCTTTTCCCTTCCTTTTTGCTGAAAACAGGGGCTTTGTTAATAAAATTTCGAAGGGATAAGCCAGCCTAAGGGCAACGCTACCCACACATGCTATGATTACACAAACCTCGACATCAGAAAATGTAATGAAGGTCCTGCACTTTTCTCAAAGCAGTCCAAAGAAACATTAGCAGTGCCATATAGTTTTCTGCAAGAGCTAATGTAGCAAATCAGAGAAAACTTGCTCCCTTAATAGGGATTTGAGGGAAAGGGCTCAGTGGTAGAATCTATTGTAAGTGTGCTTTCAATCTCATTTCTCTCATTAAGAACCCTTAAAAGAAATCTATTCATTTCAACCCAACAAGCAACCTAATAGCATTTTGCCCTGGGACATTTTTATGTTACTGTTGTAACTTCTGAGTAATACTGCCAGTCCATCATAATTATATTATCCATAGCACTAGCCCCAAGGGTCTAATGATACATCATAAACAGTATTCAAGTAAAAATTACAAGGATCATCATACATAAAATCACACCAAAAATAGTACCACCTAGCAGTGACTATAATAACAACAATAAGCAGTCGCTTGGGGGGGGTATAAATGTTTTGTTGAAAGGTTTTCTTGTATGAAGATATTATTATTAATTTGGTTTTTAAAAAATCTCATTTCCTGTGTTTGCTCAAGGTGACAGACAAGGCTGATAAATACATTAACAATAAACACAAAAATTCAGTGGGTTGCAAGTTTAACAAATTAACCTGGGTTTAAGTCTCCTTGAACTCAGCAGGGCATATTTGTGCTGCAAATTAGCTGCACTTGGTTCCAGCTGAAATCAGTGGGACTTAAGAAATGACTTAAGCTACCACTGAAATCAGTGGGGATTAAGTGCTGCTAAACTTAGCCTAGATTCGACCAACTAAAATTAGTTCATAAAACAATAAACATTGTTGGCAAACAAGAGCAAGTGATCTCTGGGAGGAGTGCTAAGTAAATACAGTCACACCTCATGTTATGTTCGCTTCAGGTTGCGTGTTTTCGTCTTGCGTTCTGCAGCAACCCGGAAGTACCGGAATGGGTTACTTCCGGGTTTTGCTGCTTGCGCCTGCGCAGAAGCGCTAAATCGCACTTTACGCCTGCGCAGAAGCACCAAATCACACTGTGCACCTGTGCAGATGCGGCGCTTCTTAAGCTACAATATTTAATTTCTTTCTTCAGGAAATTCTCCCTCAAGATTTTGGTGTATTTACATACATTCAACTTCATATGCTAAGTTCTTTCTTGACTTGTACCTTGTTCTCTCCATTTTTGGATTATTAATATAAGATTTAGAATGTAGAATGGTTTGTTAGTGTTTGTGTGCCGCTTATGTGCTGCTTACTTCATACTGGCCAATCAGCCAAGTGGCAAAATTCCTACCGGGCC